TGTTTTTTAACCTATAACAAGAGAGAAACAATATTGAACAGATGGATCCTGTAACAGACTGCGCGATGCACAGTCTGGTCTGGATCATGCAGTCGCAAATGCACTTTGTGGTTTTGTGTGACGACGGCTCAAATAGTGTGTAGCAATATTCTCTGTTGACCTTTCTGATGAAAGTTTTTCTGGAGAATTACTATTCAGTATCAAAAAGTTGTAATAATGTACATGTATGTGTTTTGTATGAAATAGAGAGCAAGGTAATACTTGATAACATAGAAATTGTTGTACAAAATTTCAAAGTACCACAGCAGATTGAGCAGTGACTTTAATAATTTTTCACTGAATTTTTTAGTGAACTTGTTTCTGTTTGAATTTTAGTAATCTCCTTTATTTCATTGGGTTCAGAATCAGAGTATGAAAATTGAGCTACCAACAGAAAAGAGTTGGTTGGATTGTCACACTTTGCAACTACCATTGCTCTATGTTATAAAGATAAGTCATTAGTTGCGCTGTGGTCACAATTAAGGTAATTTGGAGAGAAGTCGTCCTAAATATCAGATGTTAAATTTTGGAGGCACATAATTTCAGGTGTATAAATTTTTGTCTGACTGGTCAAAATGCGACTATGATTTTAAATTTTCATTTGTTCATACAATACATATTTTGTGTAAGAATTTGTTTGTAATTTTATTTGTTGTGTATTACACGTTTTTAAAGAATGAATGTGTATTTGTTTTTTTATAGCAGCAGCAGAATTACTTTACAAAATTATTGATTTTTTTTTGCTTCAGTCATTTTTGGATATTTTTAAAGGGTTACTTATGGGGGCAATTTCTTCAATATTACATCAAAAAACCTTTGAATGTATATTTTGTTAATGCAGCTTAATTTTTTTTCACTATGTGAAAAGAATGTACACATGATTGATAATTATTATATGTTTAGTAAATCTATATCCAGTTTTTTTTTAATTTTTGAAAATTATTTGTTTTAGAATCAGACATGATTTCCAAGGTTTTCTGTTGAATATGTCCAAAATGAAATCAATGGTCAATACTGAAGAGATTTATTAATTGTTAAATGTAACATTGTGTTCACTCCTTGAAGTAAAAAAAAAAAAATAATGTGGCCAATATGATGTAATCCCCATTTTAAATCTGTGTAATAAACATATCTTGTTATTTTTTCTGGACCTGTTTAATCTAAATCAGAGTGAAACAGTATAGAGTCTGGTCAGAAGGCACATACACACAGGTTGGCCTGTACTGGTGCCATACATCTTTAATATAGGTAAATTCTGATAATATACTTTGAACATACATGTACACATATATGAGCCGCGTGACGACAAAACCAACATAGTGTGTTTGCGACCAGCATGGATCCAGACCAGCATGCGCATCCGCGCAGTCTGATCAGGATCCATGCTGTTCGCTTACAGACGCTATAACAAGTAAACTGATAGCGAACAGCATGGATCCTGATCAGACTGCACGGATGCGCAGGCTGGTCTGGATCCATGCTGGTCTTGAACCCATTATGTTGGTTTTGTCGTGACGCGGCTCATTATTATGTTGATATATCATCTTGGTTGTTAAATGATTTAAGTTTACTTTGTTTACTCTACAACTTATTCTTGTTGTATTGATGCAAGAATGTAAATAAAATTTTGAAGTATACTAGTAAATCTCAGTTATAAGCAGTTTTGGAAAGCAACCTACTTAACAAATGTGAAATTAATTGGTATTACAAGACATGATAACATATGGGTGTAAGATTATTAGTTAGAAATGCTGTCTATGACTTGAATACATTCTCCCTCGAATAATGTTATTTACAGGGATAAAAGATTTTAAGGAACAAACCTGTACTGAGCAATGAGTGTACTGGTAAAGTATCTTGCTCAAGGAATGAACGGCTCGCCCCTGACAGGGTTTGAACTAACGCAGCTAGAGATCCTCGGATTACTGGTAAGATGTATTATTAACCACCCGGCCATGCTCGATGCTTTATCTACAACAGTACAAGTTCTGTAAACAACATCAAAAGGACATGTTGGATTTCCACAAACTTTACAGAAATGATATACAAAACTCAATGAATATACTTATACATGTATATACATTGTACATGTATAGTTATTGTCAGATGCACAAGCAGATCTAAGGAACTGAATAATGATAAAGCGTACATGTTGTTAAATTATATTCTAACACTCCTCCTGATTTTCTCACTATACACAAAGAAGAAGAAAAGACGGTGTTAAACTGTCAATAAACACTGGTTAGGGACTACTTGTATATGCGGCTATTATTTTTCCTCCCTTTATATAGTTTAATGACGTATTATTATTGATATTTTCCGTTCTTATAATATTTTGTTTTCATAAAATGCTGAAATAATATCACACATACACTAGTTAGCGCCACAGGTTTGATCCTTATCAGTTGACAAATTGGCGCCAAGTCGTAAGCAGCGTAATGACGTCCTTCTAAATATGAAAGTAATTCATAAATGCGCTAGAATGACGTCATTTTAAACTGACAAAAATGATAAATCGAGCACTGGTGTAAACACAATACAATCTAGTCTAAGATGTAAGCTTTGATTGTTGAAAATTTGATAAAATAACTCTTATTTCTTTTGTTAATAATTTCTATATCTTAGGAACAGTAGAATTGAACAGCGTGAAACAAGAGTTGGCAGCGGAGTATCAATACCTGTAATATCCACTTGAAGAAATAGTATTAGTGATTTTCCTTATTCTTTCCTGTTAGACTCAAAATAATATTGGTTTGAGCGGTGTTTGTCGGCTTTTTTACACCGGTTTTGTCATTTTTGATGTTAATTCCAATAAACACCATAAATACTTCAAAAATCTTCTTGAAAAATGCAAGGGCTACTGTATATTTTAGATATTTAGCATTAAAAATAGGTAGGTGGATCTTGACAAAATTATTGAAAATCCTAGGTGTACATAGATTTTCCTTAAATGTGACTTTCCATAGCAACCAGTGTCTTTCCATAGCAACCATTGACTTCCAAAGCTACTAGTGACTTTACATAGCAACCAGTGACATAATATAGCAACCATTGATTTGTCATAGCAACTACATGTGTAAAATTACCATCAATATCAACCATTGGTTTTCCATAGCAATCAGTGCCTTTCCATAGCAACAATTGACTTCCATAGCAACCACTGAATTTCCATAACAACTGTTAACTTCCATAGTAACCAGTGGATTTCTGCAGCAACCGTTGACTTTGGTAGCAAACAATGACTTCAAATAGCAATTATTGACCCTCATAACAACCATTGACTTTCCATAGCAACCTTTGACTTTCCATTGCAACCATTGATTTTGCATAGCAACTGATGATTCCTATAGCAAACAGTGAGTCTTTTATTGAATTTCAATCAAGGAAAGGCACCTGAAGTCTTCCACCACAAGTAAGGCCGCAATGTCGCCATATGTAATATACCATGTCGATGTGAGGTTAAACCCAATCAAAGCATTAAATTTCATAGCAGGCACTGACTTCTACTGAAACCACTTATTTTGCTTTTTGTCTTCAAATTTTTAATACATGGTTGATATAATAGCATATGTACAACACTGTTTGCTATCGTCTTAGGTGTTATCCTATTTTATATGATTTTCAAGAAAATTGCCTTCCTGAATTTTACTTATGCCCCTTGGCAGTTTTATCCTTCGTCTGGGCAAGGGTTTGTGGACAACTTGACACTATGGCATTTTAATTTTTGTTATGGAGGCGTTATTATTATTCTTTAAGTTTGCCAATATACATGTAGGCCTGCCTTATTCAAAAAGTACACAAGTTGGGTTGATGATAGGGCTACTTTTTTGTTCATCATTTTACTTTTCATCTGTCCACCCGTGGTTCCTCTTTTCATCATTGTACATAGTGGAACTGTAAAAAGAGGACTGCTTTATTGTTCTTATAAAACTTGCCCTTGTTTTATTAGTAAGACGTTCAGGCAATAAATTCAAGGACCTTTATCTGTTATTTAAGTCTTGAAAGAATAAATAACCATAAATATCTTATAGATCTAAATCGTTTTTTTTTTTTTTTTTTTTGTTTTTTAATTTGGAAAATCATTTAGGGGCGTGCAACCATAGTCAGCAGTTAGGGAACCATCCTTTTCATGCTGGAAACCAGAAATTTGGGTGAAGAAGTAAATTTACCAAGGATGTTTGGTCCGTGTAGCAACATTTTTTGACATTTTAAAATCCATCAGGTAACAGAGTTCATATATCCTGATTTTATGATAAATGTATAAAAATCACAAAAAAGAAAAAAAAAACAGAACTCATCAACTGACTCAGTCCAATAGGGCCTATAGGACTAAAAGGGCATTTAGCAATAAAAATATTTTAACACTGTTTAACAAGGACTTGATGTTTTCAAAGTCTCTCACTGATAATCATACAAGGCCGTCGTCGATGGTCCGGCCGGTCCGGCCTTGGCCGGACCAATATTTTGGCCAAAAATGAGTAATAAAAACAAAAAAAACAAAAAAACAAAAAAAAAAACGCATCGCTGATTAGCAATTTGACACTTAACTGGTCCCATATACAAACAGGACGCGACACAATTAATTGACCAGGTATATGTAGGGGTCCTACGAAGTCAAGTTCGAGTACTTTTTCGGCACGACATCCTAGCATTGACAGATAACCTCAGCAAATCTCCTCAACAAGTTTCATTGTCAGCATCCGAGGGCCAGCGGATAGCAAAGCGGACTCTAGAGAGTTTGATAACATTGAGATCAGACGACAGTTTTGATTCTTTATGGATTAAACTTCAAAGTGAGAGTGATCGCGTCGATGTTAACGATCCAAATGTTCCAGGGAAGAGAAAGGCGCCCACACTTTCGAGATGGGGCACGGTGTTGGCTACCACCCCATAACAGTGCAGGACTTGTTCCGGCCTAGGTAGCAATCGATCTTGCCATCGCCAGTGTTAAAGAGAGATTTGACCAACCGGGATATTGCGTACTTCAAAACGTGGAGAATTTACTTATAAAGGCCGTACAACCTTTGAAGACCGAGTACACTAGAGAACTTGGTTTTGTTTGTGATTTCTGTGGTAACGATATTAGCCTAGACATCTAAGATGTGCAGCTTCAGCTGCTACGTTCACATTTTGAAAAATCAGAAAATAGTACTGTTGCTCTACCTGACATTTTGAAATTTGCGTCAGAACAGACAGCACTGTTCTCTGAGGTCGTTGTGTTGTTAAAGATTTTGTTAGTAATGCCTGCTACTAATGCTACCAGTGAAAGGACATTCTCGGCGTTCAGAAGAATTAAGACATACCCGAGATCGACAATGTCTCAAGTACGCTTGAACAATCTAATGGTGTTACATATTCGTAAGTACAGGACAGATTCACTCAGCTTACGTGTAATTGCCGATGAGTTCATTACTACCAGAGAACGACGGCGATGTGTTTTTGGAAAATTTACATAAAATGAGACTCTGTACGTGTTGTGTAAGATTATTGTTATCAAAATTACTGCTAAACAAAAAGTGGTTATTGTTGACTCGTAATTATTTTTCCATCATGTCATCGATTGTTATTTAAGCTTATACCATTGTGCTTAACAATAATCCACGTACTGTAACATTTCTTTTATTTGTTTATTTATAATCATCAGATAAAAATGCATCTAAAGAATTATAATAACATCAGTCATTGTTTATTTTTCATTTGCCAAATATCAATTACATGTATTCATCTTTTATTTACACCTGTCCGTCCGTCATGCGAACCTTAAATTTCACCCTTAAAACTTACGACGCACTTAAATCCGTAAAAAATCGTTGACATATTACTATAACATGTACTAGTGGCAGGCTGTATACTGTGCCAAATATACGGGAAAACGCCCCTGAGAGCGTCCTAGAATAAAAATTTTCCGGGGGAGCATGCCCCCGTACCCCCCTAGATTCTACCTAAAACCAATCAAATTGGCCGCACCAATCACAAAATCGTGACGACGGGCCTGTCATAATGTTTATTTTCAGGTTTTACTTTCTTTCACACCATTTACTTATCACGTCCAAAATTATCTTGATGTCTTGAAGTCTAATTAGTTGTACTGACTGCTAGATAGACGATATATCCTTGAGTGACTTATCCCAACAAATTATGCGATTTAGGGCTTTTTATTATATAGAGGATGGTCAACTTTCACCGACATCTATGTAATATCAGTTTGTAAAGTGGGTCGGTCTTGCAGTCAATATATTGAGACTAATCAGGTCTAGATTGATGGTGACATAGTGCTCATGAAGCAGCAGTTACAGTGAGTTGATGCTGGTATCTGGTTTCACAGGCAAATCTTAGACAGAATAAAGCTTGCTTTGTAGATTAATTTCTTTTTACATATAATGGTACCAAAACTATAATGCCTCTAGTTGTAAATGCATATTACATCTGTTTAAAATGGTGACAGATACTGACTATGACTTCTGCTGTCCCTTTGTTATCACTTATAGATACGTAATTACTTACATCCATAAAATTATACCTTACATTGTAATTGAAATTTCTATATTTGGCATTGCATGCAGTTTGTCCATAAAATGTCTTGTACACCTGAGATTGTTGCAGAAATAATGCTTCTGTCCTGGGTGTGTCCTTTAATAAATTCTTCCTAAAAAATGACAGGAAAAAATAATGATTTTCAATTATATTTGTTGAATATTATGTTTATATTTCAGGTTCTTCTTACAGTGACCATGAGGAAGACTGGAGCTAGATTGACCCTGTCTGGTGCAATGGCAAGACAGCCACACCTGGAGCCATTGGACACTAGTGAGATTAAAAGCTCAAGTGTGACTAAAGCAGAAAAAGAAATAAAGGTTGTCATGAGATGTGTTTTCTAATGATCTCAATAACAGCAATCCTAATTATTCCTTTTTTTTCCCATTCATTATAGAAATTGTACTTTAGTCACTTATGTCTTTGTTAAATACATTGAATATTATGACTCAACTGAAAACATAGAAAGAAAAACTTGTAGCTTTTTAAGAATGATATTTTAGAAGAAACCAGTTTATTATAAATTGACATAATGTTAAAGATCAACTGATGGATATATCTTGCAATGTAGGATTTGTTATCTTGGAGAAAACTATTTATCCATCAAGTGTTGGTAGAAAATATGTAATATATTAATTTTAAACTCTTTGTAACCTAATAAATTCATTTGTCAGATAGTTTACTTCATTATCTGATACATATTTTTGTACATGTTTCCTACATAAAGATTTAAAAGTTAATACCAAAGTTTACTATAACTTTTTTATGAAAGTGTTGAATATTTTCAGCTGTTAAAACAAGAAAATCGGAAGTTAAAGGATGATCTAACAGAAGTCAGGTTTGTTGACTGTTATCAAATTATTTCATCATGGTTGTATAATGCTCTAATGAATACTGTATTCATTAATCCATTTTTCTGCTATCTATTGGTACAGATTTATTACCTATTCTAACAAGCAACAAACATAACAAATGATAACATACACATAACTTTACTGGAGTATTATTATAATATACTTTACAATTTAGTCTGTTTGAAACTGATAAATACCCAGTAAACATTTTGATTTTTTTTTTAGACTTTGTAGCTTAACTGTCAGTTGTCAGACTTATTTAAATGGAATCATTTCGGATCTATCTACAGTACTATAATATATGTAACATGACCATATGTCATTTAATCTGTCAAAAATCTTTTAAAACTAACAATATACATAATTATATCAATATATTATTCACACTAGGTCATTGTACAATCAGCTAGTACAGGAGAATAGCCATGAGAAGTTTGATGAAAGGAGGGTAACTCTGTTGAAGTCACAGATTATACAGCTAGAGAGACAGGTATCCTAAATTTGTGTGTGTATGTAAGTTTATACTAGATTTAAAGTCTCATCAGAGAGACTGATTTGTAATTTCAGTTGGCCAACCCACAATTACAAGTCTCGAGCTGTGTGGGCTGGCCAGGTATCCATGATTTTATGAGGCTTTTAAAAAAAAATAAATAAATAAATTATGCCACCTCTATAGAACCATTCTAGCCTGTATATCAGTGTAATCTAAACAAACTGTAAAGTTTTAAATTTGAAGTCATTGGAGTAAAAAACATGCATTACATAATTGTATAATTGTGGGTTAGTAAACAATGTATAATTTGATAACACAACACATTTCAACTTTAATGAGTTCACCAGAGGTAAAGGTGAGCTTTTGTGATCGGCCTGTGTCCAGCATTGATCAGTGTTGTTAACATTTAACTTAAACAAAATCTCCTCTTAAATCTCTTACCCAATAATTTGTAATAATAAAATCTGTACAGTATGATTCTTCAGATTACAGATGATATTCTATAGAAATTACTCAAACCAGCTGGCTGTCAGAGCTAAAAATGATAAAACATTTTAACAACATCTCAACAACTTTGTAGTTTTTGATGAAACTATAGAGAAGTGACCATTATTATGTGGTCCTGTACAACAATTGCTCAGGTCTACTGAACTCAGGGCTCTTGTTAGCATTTTGAGACTGGAGCCAGGGTCCATGCAGGGGGGAATTTTGCATGATTTTCAAATATTTTTCATTCAAGGGGGAATTTTTTTTTCGGTAAGACTTGAAATTGTGCGATATGTTGGAATGCTACAAACTGTCCGGAACGTTTTATTTATATATAGACATCGGCGTTTTCTATGTCCGTTAAATATTAATTTCAAGGGGGATTTTTTTTTGGTTTTAGGGAGAAAAAACACACACTTTTTGGTGGGGGAATGGGGCCGATATTCAGCCCCAAATCTTACCAAACCAGAGCCCTTGAACTAAAAGGCCACCAAAACTAATAAAACCCTGGAACAACATCTCTAATTCTCTTCCTTAATTGCTGGATAGATTATAATGAAACTTTACATATATGATTTATAATTGCTAAAATCATCACAGTCTGCTGAACAAGATGGCAATCAGAGCTAGAAATATAAGTTTTAGACAACATTTTTTCTACAGAAATGGTTGTAAGGTGGTCTGTTAAACAAGTGGCCACCAGAGCTTTAAATAGAAAATAGCTTTAAAGGACATTTCCTCAACATGTTGTGTATTATTTTAATATACATGTATATTTTTTTTTTTTTCAGTTGCTGTTATTTAGTGAAGCCCTCACATCTAGAAGTGAGACTTTGTTTGATGTAGAGAATAATCTTCAGTGGCTGGCAGATAAATGCAGGTATTGTTATAGAAATGACATATTTTCATGATAATTCTCATAGTGCTTTCACATATACTACTTGAGAGACATGAGTAACAAGAGTTGTAAAAAGTGCTGTTTGGTTACAGGCAATTCATGTGCATATAAAATCTAAATCACTCCACCTTCATAAACTCCTGTCATACATTGTGATTTGCTGCATGTATTAAAAGAGTTTATAATCAGATTGTTAACAAGCTGAATGTCATTCTTATTGTCCCTGTCAAACATTTCTTTAAACATCAATAATGTGGCTACACCCTCTTTCGCCATTTTGGCCCCTACTTGTTAAGTGCCTGATATGTTTGAGATATCACAACAGAGTTATCTAAATATGCATGCTCAAATGTTGGCTACAAATTGCTCTTATTGGCTTATATTGTTGAATAACTATTCTCCCTTAAACCTTTCACAGCTTGAGTTTAGATTGTATATTAACAGTGCATTTCCTGTGGTAATATTTAAAACTTTACTTGGTGGTATGTAGTATAATTTATGATCAGTAATGCCTATAATCTGCTATTGCTTTTATGCTAAAAGGTAGAAAAAAATAATGTTTAATCAAAGTTTCTCTCTATAAAAGTTTATTTAGTCCTCACCAGAAGTACATGATTATGGGCTACTCATCCCTTAAGACTGTTAGTAAGTTTAACTTAATCATGGAGGATTTGAAACTGATTTAAATAATTTTCATAATGCCAGAAGGACAACATGGAAGTTTTAAATTACCATAATGCACAGACCTTGATTTTGAAAGTCTCATTGGAAAGATCATTTGTAATTTTAAGTTGGAGAGTAGCACAGGATTGAACTGACAATTCCTTGTTTTGTTGTTGGACTGTGTTACCACCTGATGACTAAATATATTTCAAAGCTTAGCACTCATATTTTAGATTAAACAACTGGTTTTTCCCTTGATTCTCTTATTAACCAGGTTTTCAACGAAAACCGGGTTATTGTAATGCCGAAGTCGGCGGGCGGGCGTCAACTTTTGGTTTCCGCTCAATAACTTTAGTTTGCTTTGGCCTATTGACACCAAACTTGGTGTATGGATAGCTTATATCAAGAGGCAGCTTGGGATTGCTACCCAGGTGTCTGTGATCAAGGTCACTGTTACTAAAAATAGAAATTCAGTTTCCGCTCAATAACTTGAGTTTGCCTTGACCTATTAACACCAAACTTGGTGTATGGATAGCTTATATCAAGAGGCAGCTTGGGATTGCTACCCAGGTGTCTGTGATCAAGGTCAAGGTCACTGTTACTAAAAATAGAAATTCAGTTTCCGCTCAATAACTTGAGTTTGCTTTGGCCTATTGACACCAAACTTGTTGTATGGAAAGCTTATATCAAGAGGCAGCTTAGGATTGCTTCCCAGGTGTATGTGATTAATGTCACTGTAACTGTTACTATAACCAGAAATTCAGTTTCCGCTCATTAACTTGGGTTGATTTTTTTGGCCTATTGACACCAAACTTGGTGTATGGATAGCTTATATCAAGAGGCAGCTTGGGATTGCTACCCAGGTGTCTGTGATCAAGGTAAAGGTCACTGTTACTAAAAATAGAAATTCAGTTTACGCTCAATAACTTGAGTTTGTTTTGGCCTATTGACACCAAACTTGTGCGTGGGTAGCTTATATCAAGAGACAGTTTGGGATTGCCACCCAGGTGTCTGTGATCAAGGTCATGGTCAATGTTACTAAAAATAGAAATTCAGTTACCGTTTAATAACTTTAGTTTGCTTTGGTATATTGACACCAAACTTGGTGTATAGGTAGCTGATATCAAGATGTAGCTTTGGATTGCTGCCAAGGTATCTATGATGAAAGTCAAGGTCACTGTGACTTAAAATAGAAATTTCCGCTCAATAACTTTAGTTTGCTTTGGTCTATTGACTCACTTGGTGTACGGATAGCTTATATTAATAGGCAGCTTGTGCTTGGTACCCAGGTGTCTGATATAAAGTTCAATGTTGCTGAAAATAGAAATTCAGTTTACGCTCAAAAACTTGAGTTTGCTTTGACCTATTGACACCAAACTTGGTGTATGGATAGCTTATATCAAGAGGCAGCTTGGGATTGCTACCCAGGTGTCTGTTATCAAGGTCAAGGTCACTGTTACTAAAAATAGAAATTCAGTTTCTGCTCAATAACTTGAGTTTGCTTTGGCCTATTGAGACACCAAACTTGGTTTATGGATAGCTTATATCAAGAGGCAGCTTGGGATTGCTATCCAGCTGTCTGTGATTAAGGTCAAGGTCAGTGTTATTAAAAATAGAAATTCAGTTTCTGCTCAATAACTTTAGTTTGCTTTTGCCTTTTGACACCAAACTTGATGAATGGGTAGCTTATATAAAGAGGCAGCTTGGGATTGCTACCCAGGTGTCTGTGATCAAGGTTAATGTAATTAGTTTTCATGTTATAACTTGAGTTTGCTTTGACCTTTTGACAATAAACTTGCTGAGTGGCAGCTTTGGATTGCTACTTAGATATCTGGGAGCAAGTTCAAGGTCATTTGCTTACAATAGAATTTTCAGCTTCTACTCATTAACTTCAGTGTACTTTGACCTATTGATTGCTGTCACATCAAAATTTGGTTGTTGAAAACCTGGTTTTCGTCGCATTGCAGCGCTTCTTGTAAAAATTTGTTTCTTTAAAGATCCTGTATGTTTTGTGATTGATATTGTAACTGTGTGTATACCACACTTGCAAAAAATTATATATGTATATAATTATGCAAATAAAACAATTTTCAAACATCGAAGAGTATGTAAAATGTGTACTGCTAATATTTGTGCACATTATATTTAATCAATAAATATATGCATTCATTTCTTATTGGAAAATTTGACTTAGAATTTATAGAAAATAAATTTCTATTTACCTCTCTTTATTTACATGAAATGTTAAATTCGGTAATATCTTTATAAATAATGCTTATTGGAACTTACAATATTGACAAATCTTAATTTGAGCATCATATTTATGAAATAAAACCATGAGAAAAAGTGTTACAGGATCTTTAAGTTGAAGGTCTAGATATCCTGTGATGAAATAATATGGTTAAAAGATTGGTGCATTCAACATAAAATCATATTTCATTATTCCATGAAACTTATTGAAGGTCATTAATCAGTAAAGATGTGAGAGGTGCTCAAGTTCCTGTAGATAGATCAGAGTTAACATTGATGGTAGAGACCACAGAATCTGCAAGGATCAAGTTGTACAAACAGATAGAGGTACTCTATTTTCTCAATTCAAACTTTAAAAAAAATCAAAGCACAGAAGGCGCTGAATTTGTTTGGGTCTCAGAATGTCAGAAAGGTGAAGGTTGTGAGATAATAAACCAATTTGGTTTTGTATAGTGCCACCAATGCTTTTCAGCGTTTTAATTGTAGTAAATTGGCTATAAGACTAATTGCAACACTGATATTCAATTCGATGTTTATGTGACTTAAACAATTGGAAAAAAATGAGTTGCCTTAAGTGGGATTTGAACTCCAGACCTCTAGCTTCCTAAGCGAGCGCACAAACCCATCGGCCACGGTGAAGCTATATGTTAACGGCCTGAAGAAAACCATATTATTTTAAATTAGGGTTTGTAACCCTTATTATTTCGACGCTAACTGTTGTTTAACACAGATGTAAATAATCATAGAGCTTACTATAAGCATGTATATCTATAAAGAATAAAACAATATTAGAAATCTTCGACCATTCGGGAACTATTTTGCTTGAAAATTAATGCGCCTTTTATTTGACCATCTTTAAGCAGTGATCTCCCCTGAATTTTTCGGCGTTAGTGAACATATAAAGGGAATAACTGCTTCAAAGAAGCGGACTACTTTTGGCATTTGCAATTAACAGCATCAGGGTCTGAAATTTCGCTACCATTATTTGTTTGGTCTGACGACCCAAACAAATAAAAACTTTTCAAAACAATACCAATCAATGTTTAAAGTGAAGAACTTGATATCGTCTGTAAGGTTGTGGTGCAAGCCTAGCCATTTATTGTAGAAGAGTATTAGGTCCACACAACTAAATTAGCAAGTTCAAGTTTCAGACATGGCACTGTTCTTTATTTATAGATTTAGATGAAAACAATGTGTTCATCATGGACATTTGTTCTTCAACTTAGTACTTGTATTTGTATATACATGTATACAAATGAAATGGTATTATTACTTAAAAAAAACACTAACAAATTAATACAGAATTATAGAAAACAGGTTAAGTAATTGATTGGTGAAGTAAAACTGAAATACCTCTTTAAACAGAAGTTAAACCTAATGCATATATTAATTTTAAGTTAGTGACAGAAGTAATTAAGAGACCTTGCTTCTTTTATCAAACCATATCAACTTGTGAATATTCCTTCAGTTTATCCAAACACTATGTTTACCTGTTAATTTTACTATTTGATTCTGACCATTTAAACTACTTGTGGACTGTCCACAATTCAAAGAAAGGAAAGTCCACTATATAAATTGAGAACAGCTTATAAAAAAAATTTAAAGTTACTAGCTCACTTTATTTCACAACATCTTATCATTGTTTTTACATATACTGTATTTTCCAGAATAGATCCACGGAAAATTTATCTAGACCATTGAAATTCACCAGTGATTTTCTACAGTCTAGTAGAGAACATGATGTTACACTGTTAGAGATAGCCTCTGGAAATCTGGAACATTTAAATCTCAAACATGTGGTATTTATGCTAATATATGTATTTAAATACTTTCTTTTCCAAAGGTAATTTAAAATTAACTGGAAACTGTTACAAAGGATATTAAATGTAGCTTTGTTCCGGATTTGATTCTGTAATTGAGATGTTATTTGAACTTGAATACATTAATATACAAGTTATTTGAACTTGAATACATTAATATACAAGTTAATACATGTATATAGGAGGTTTCATATTTTCTTTTAAATTATATGAAGTAGTAGTATGAAAAGATGGACGTCAGTGTTCAAAAATGTACCCTTAACAAAAATAGAATACATTTTCTAATGTTTATTTCCTTATTCTTATAAATGATAAAAGTCGATCTTCAGTTTGGAAAAGATTTTACTTGCTTTTTATCAGTCTCACCAGTTTTGTGTTTTTGCCTATGTTTATAATTTTATGATATTTTCCACAGACAAAGTTAGAAACAAAACTTAGCTCCCTTTACAAGGATCTCATTCAGCTACATTCCATCATGGAACCTGAAAATGACAGTGACTCTGCGTATTTATGGACTTCCTGTCATGTGACCACACCTGCCAGAGATAGGCTAATGACCCAGATTCTGAAAACATGTGCAGTGATGAAAGAATGTAGCTCAGACCTTCTTGATTTATCATTATTGTATCCCAGTGCACCTTGGGTAAGAAAATGAAGCATATATGGACTCAGCTTATTCTGCTTTTCTTAAAACATAAAAAAGGAACATCAAAAATTAAAATAATTTTTAGCTTGTCCGTTTCGCAGGGAAAGTTTAGCTATTATTTTTTGCTGCAGTGTCATAATTGCCATCATCTTCAATTCTTGCAAAGATTTTAAGGTAGCACATCACTTAAACAGTTTAAAGGTATCTACCTGTATATGAAACTTGGGAATACATACTTATCATGACAAAGTCAGTTGCAAGACAGGAGAATGATTCTGAAAGCTATATTTTTGGAATTTTTCCCCTTTTTAACATTTTAGCATTTTTTATTTAATTAACAGAGCATTAACACTGCATGGGATGCTTTTACGAGTTTGTCTGTTTTGAACCAAAAAGTCTATTATGGTAACAGCATCATTATTGTTGTTATCATCGTGGTTATTCAAAAACTTCATTGTAGCCCACTATTCGAACATTTTAAAAGATATCATTATGAAACTTGAAATATTTGCTTATTATTACAAGGTGCAAGAAGTATTAATTTGAAAACTATATTTTTGGAGTTATGTTTATTATTAACTTTTTGTGAAAATTACCTTTAAAAGTATTATTTCAAAACAAAGAAAGGTATCAACATGTAATTTCGAAAACTTTTTTGTCATAATAAGCCAAAATTGTAAGACAATGGGCCTTATTCTGAAAGCTATGTTTTTAAAGTTATGCCTTATTGAACTCTGAAAACTTTGTCAAAATTGCTTATTGAATTGGATGATTTCAAAACTATTAAAGCTATCAGCATGAAACATTGAATTCTTGATTTTTATGACATCGGAAATTTTTAAGACAAGGGCATTATACTGAAAGAAATATTTTAGGTGTTATGCCCCCTTTTAACTTATAATAGTTAATAAAATTAGTTGTTATTAGTTGTTGCCTTTTAACTTTTTTGCTATTTAATATGGCTTGAAAACTTGGACTCAAATACTAAAACTCCTTTAGTTATTCTTTCTTCAATAAATTTTTGAAAAGTTAGACAGGACATAAGTATTTGATGAGGAATACATAAATATTTTTTGATATAAAAACATCAATAGTATACAGCATTTAAATTTTATACATAATAATTGACCAGTAACCTACAGGAACCAAGCATGATACGTCTGTGACACTAGTATTGAGCCAGGCTAGCCTGCATGTCCATGTTGACTGTCACTAGACTATACTGATGGCTGATCAGCTTCAAAGTTTCATTTTCCCCAGATTGATAATGAACAGTTCCAAATATTGAAGCTGGAGTCCAGTGGACAAGTCCATTTTAGAAATTAAGTAGGTTAAGGCTTAAACTGTTTTTAAAAGGGTTGGGTACTATGTTCTTTTTTATGTTTTAAATTTATAGCCACCACTGAAGACATGTGCACTTAAAGAGATCACAGCAGAGAGAGTGTTGGCATGGTTACCAGCTAGGTCAAGGTCAAGGTCAGAGGACATGAACCAAATGATAAAAGCATTGGTGAAAGCTTTCAACTATAAAGTTTATATGCTTCAAAACCAGGTAATGAACTTCCTGAATGTTGTATATTTTTGTTTATATAAGATTAACTTGACAAGGTTCTTGCTGGAAGTTATAAATTCTAAAAACTTTTTAAATTTACGAGGATCAAATTTATGGTATACAAGAGGTATCTTTTAAGATCAGTTACATCTTATAATTATTTGAATTTTGTAAAATGAGCTACTGGTACTGGAAGTCAAAGTATTCTTATAAGTCCTGATGTTTCTGCACAGTCTGTTCAAAGTTTAAATGATTTATATGTTAAGACACAAAGCTACTAATAGTATAGAGCTTGTTCAGACTCCACAGATATGCAGGCTGGCTTGGCTTTATACTTGTGGAAAAGGTTAAACGCTTTTGGTTCAGGGTTAAATACTTATGCATGATCATGTTTGAAATTTTCAGAATAAATGTTTGAGAGAAGAGGTGAAGTATCATCAGAAAGTTTACAATCTGCAGCTCAAATATACAGAGTCTTTATTTCAAGCTATAAGGTAATTAGTTGTTTCATTTCTTTTCTGAAACTAGTACTGTGCTTTATTCCTTTTTGTCCCCCTTATATTGAGAAGCTGTCTGCTATTTACTATTAATTTGTTCTAATTTGATTGATAACCCAAAGTTTATAAATTCCAATGTAGTCTTCTTTCTAACCTTACTGTTTTTACATTTGACAGTGTCATTGGATATGTTTGTTTATTTTCAGGGAAGCCTACACAAGTTTTGAAGATACTAGTAATGACTTGATAGTGAAACCAATTAATGGTAATTTCTTACAAACAAAATTTATTTTCATTTTATGTCTGAAAGTATTGTACAGTAAGGTTGTTTTTGTACACACAAAAAAGGATATTTTGATCTACCTTAAAGAAAAGTCAAAAGATAGAGGAATCAGAGAGAAGGTTGCATTGCACATGTTATCATTTTCCTGTCATGTTTTTTTTTCCATTTTGCACATTTTATTCAATATCAAGCCTTGAAAATGAAGTTGTTAAACTAAATACAGTAAACTTCACATATAGCGAACACGGTTATAGCGAACTTCCAGTTATCAGGAACAAAATTTTTTGGCCCGAATTTTACCCTTCTTTATTTAATGTAAAAAATTACGGTTACAGCGAACACGTTTATAAGGAATTATCGCTTATAAGGAACTCATTTTTTAGTCCCAATGCCATTAAAAGTACAGAAAATTACACTTTTATAACGAAATCCAAAATATCGGCTATCCGAAAACAGATCATGCATTTTCTACTTTCGTTTTCATCGCCACAGATTAAAACTTGGCCGAATGTAGCGGATATATTAGGAACAAATAATGACGATGACAGTCAACCATCTGAAGACAAGATCTATTTAGATGATCTGCCGGTTGTGTCAAAAAATGAAGCTATTGATTGTTTGCACAATATTAGGTCATACTTAGAGTCTAATGCACATGTTAAAGAAACAGTTTTTAAAAGTTTATTGGATCTGAAGAGTTGTAAACATTCCCAAACTAAAAGTAGCAACTTCTTCAAAGCAAAGTGATTATTTTTATGCATGATACTGTATTGTTAATAAATAACAATATTGCATATATGGTACATATCATATAATTATCATATAGATATGTCTATACATAAAAATTATATTAAAAAGAAACAACATTGCAATTATTCCTTTTTTTAGCTCACCTTGCACAAAGTGCAGGTGAGCTTTTAGGATGGCCAACCAAATGGCGTCCGTCGTCTGTCGTCCGTCCACATTTTAAATATTCTAAGGACATCTTCTATGATACCGCAAGGCCAATGTTAATGAAACTTGGCAGGAATACTCTTTGTATGAAGCTCTATCAAGATTGTTCAAAGAATTCCATTTCATGCAGAACTCTGGTTGCCATGGCAACCGAAAGAAAAATCTTTAAATATCTTCTTTTAAAGAACCCAAAGAGCTAGAGCTTAGATATTTGGCATGAAACATCTTCTAATGAGTGTCTACCAAGTTTGTTCAAATAAAAGCCCTAGGGTCAAAATTGGCCCTGCCCCAGGGGGTCATTGATTTTCCCTATATGCATACAGTAAATACTTAAAAAATCTTCTTTTAAAGAACCCAAAGAGCTAGAGCTAAGATATTTGGCATGAAACATCTTCTAGTGAGTGTCTACCAAGTTTGTTCAAATAAAAGCCCTGGGGTCAAAATTGGCCCCGCCCCAGGGGGTCATTGATTTTCCCTATATGCATATAGTAAAAACTTAAAAAATCTTCTTTTAAAGCACTGTAAAAGCTAGAGCTTAGATATTTGGCATGAAACATCTTCTAGTGAATGTCTACCAAGTTTGTTAAAATAAAAGCCCTGGGGTCAAAATTGGTCCCGCCCCAGGGGGTCATTGATTTTCCCTATATGCATATAATAAAAACTTAAAAAATCTTCTTTTAAAGAACCCAAAGAGCTAGAGCTAAGATATTTAGCATGAAACATCTTCTAATGAGTGTCTACCAGGTTTGTTCAAATAAAAGCCCTGAGGTCAAAATTGGCCCTGCCCCAGGGGGTCATAGATTTTCCCTATATGCATATTGTAAAAACTTAAAAAATCTTCTTTTAAAGAACCCAAAGAGCTAGAGCTAAGATATTTGACATGAAATATCTTCTAGTGAGTGTCTACCAAGTTTGTTCAAATAAAAGCCCTGGGGTCAAAATTGGCCCCGCCCTGGGGGTCATTGATTTTCCCTATATGCATATAGTAAAAACTTAAAAAATCTTCTTTTAAAGAACCGTAAGAGCTAGAGCTTAGATATTTGGCATGAAACATCTTCTAGTGAATGTCTACCAAGTTTGTTCAAATAAAAGCCCTGGGGTCAAAATTGGCCCCGTCCCAGGGGGTCATAGATTTTCCCTATATGCATATAGTAAAAACTTAAAAAATCTTCTTTTAAAGAACCCAAAGAGCTAGAGCTAAGATATTTAGCATGAAACATCTTCTAATGAGTGTCTACCAAGTTTGTTCAAATAAAAGCCCTGGGGTCAAAATTGGCCCCGCCCCAGGGGGTCATTGATTTTCCCTATATGCATATAGTAAAAACTTAAAAAATCTTCTTTTAAAGAACTCAAAGAGCTAGAGCTAAGATATTTAGCTTGAAACATGTTCTAATGGGTGTCTACCAAGTATGTTCAAATAAAAGCCCTGGGGTCAAAACTGGCCCTGCCCCGGGGGTCATTGATTTTCCTTATATGTGTATAGCAAAAACTTAAAAATCTTCTTTGAAAAAACCCAAATAGCTTGAGTTTAGATATTATACATGAAACATCTTTAAGTAAATATCTACAAAGTTTGTTCAAATAAAAGCCCAGGGGTCAAAACTGGCCCTGCCCCAGGGGTGTCATTGTTTTTAACTATATGTGTATAGTAAAAACTTAAAAATCTTCTTTTAAAAAACCCAATGAGCTAGAACTTAGATGTTTAGCATGAAACATCTTCTTATGGGTGTCTACCAAGTCTGTAAAAATTGGCCCGGGGGGGGGGGGGGGGGGGCCTATATACAGGTGAGCGACCTCATGGCCCTCTTGTTTCTTTATTGAATCAATATAAGGGAGACAACAATGACAAACCAAAAAGTTATTTCTCTTAATCAAATGTTCTTCGAAGTGGCGGACAATGGTTAACAATTAGTTTGTTATATGTAAAACTGTTCGCTATAAAAACTTCTGATACAAGGAACTAATTCGCTATATGCTTACAAGGAACTCCAGATATAAGGAACAGATTTTGAATGTCCCAATGAGTTCGTTATAAGCGGAGTTTACTGTAGATATTCTAAAATCTGCTTTAATTTTGCAGTGTTTGGAAAGTCCATTTTAGATTGACTATTAAAAAGTGGGACTATCCTACATACCTGGGAGTCAGCATAAACATTGACATAACCTTTTGGTTAAAGTTTGATATGTAACTTCTTTTACATAATCATGCCTTGCCAAACACTAAAGATGCTTGTAACTTGAGAGAATAAAAGGATGTCATTAACTAAGGCCTATAACTCTAGCTCTAACTCTGGATTTTGACAAAATTTTGGTCCATTTTGAACTAAGAATGTTCTTGGCTCATGTTTTGCATACACAATCAATCTAAAACTTTGCAAAGTAAAACTTCTGAAGGTATTCACTTGATTGTTTTACATGTCTTTGTGAAGTAAGTGGATGTCAGTATCCAAGACATGGATTTTGATTGAATTATAGCCTTTTCTGAAATAAAAAATTCTAGTTAAAGTTTTGCTTGAAACATTTACCTTCAAAACTATTGAAGGTATTCACTAAAAACTGTACGTGCCTTTTGGATCATAAGTGAAGGTGACTTTTCAAAGCTCTGAACTCAAGTATGGATTTTGACTGAATCATGGCCCTAAAAAAATGATTTTTATTTTGTGTGCAACATTAATCTTTAAAAAAAAACAACACCTCAACATGATCACTTGAATCTTAATTCAAGCTTTTGGAAATACAATTGAAGGTTACTTTTCAATATCTTTATACTCATAGATAAATACGCAGTACTTTATACGCATGGATTTTAAATGAAATAGGATTATTCGAGAACTTCAAAAATTCTTTTGTCACTATCTAAGATTCTTTGATATTACCTGTAGAAAAGAAATCTTTTTTAGCTCACCTGTCACAAAGTGACAGGGTGAGCTTTTGTGATCGCTTTTCGTCCGGCGTCCGTCCGGCTTCCGTCCGTAAACTTTGACTTTAAATGACATCTCCTCATAAACCTCTAAGCCAATTTCATCCAAACTTCACAGGAATGTTCCTTTGGTGGTCACCTTTAAAAATTGTTCAAAGAATTTAATTCCATGCAGAACTCTGGTTGCCATGGCAACCGAAAGAAAAAACTTTAAATATCTTCTTTTAAAAAAAACCCAAGAGCTAAGGCTTAGATATTTGGCTTGAAACATCATCTAGTGAGTGTCTACCAAGTTTGTTCAAATAAAATCCCTGGGGTCAAAATTGGCCCCGCCCCAGGGGATCATTGATTTTCCCTATATGCATATAGTAAAAACTTACAAAATCTTCTTTTAAAGAACTCAAAGAGCTAGAGCTAAGATATTCAGCATGAAACATCTTCTAATGGGTGTCTATCAAGTTTATTCAAATAAAAGCCCTTGGGTCAAAATTGGCCCCGCCCCAGGGGTCATTGATTTTCCTTATATGTGTATAGCAAAAACTTAAATAATCTTTTTTGATAAAAAAACCGAAATAGCTAGAGTTTAGATATTAAGCATGAAACATCTTTTAGTGAGTGTCTACAAAGTTTGTTCAAATAATAGCCCTCGGGTCAAAATTGGCCCCGCCCCAGGGGGGTCTTGATTTTCCTTATATGCATATAGTAAAAACTTAAAAAATCTTCTTTGAAAAAACCTAAATAGCTAGAGTTTAGATATTAAGCGTGAAACATCTTCTAGTAAACGTCTACAAAGTTTGTTTAAATAAAAGCCCTGGAGTCAAAACTGGCCCCGCCCTAGGGGTGTCATTGTTTTTAACTATATGTGTGTATTAAAAACTTAAAAAATCTTCTTTTAAAAAACCCAATGAGCTAGAGCTTAGATGTTTAGCATGAAATATCTTTCTTATGGATGTCTACCCAGTTTGTTCAAATAAAAAGCCCTTGGTTGAAAATTGGCCACGCGGGGGGGGGGGGGGGGGGGGGTAGTAAAAACTTAACATTGTGTGAAACATCTTCTAATGAGTGTCTTCCAAGTTTGTTCAAATAAAAAGCCCTGGGCGTTTAAACTTGCCCCGCTCTGGGGGCCTATATACAGGGCCATCATGGCCCTCTTGTTTCATAATTTGCACACATGACAATAAGAATAAAAATGTTATTAATTGTTTAACATTTACAAAAAAAATTGGCCAAATTGAAATTGCAATTTTTGCTCCGATTTAAACCTCAAAGGTGCATTTTTCCACGAGGTAAAATGTGTTTTGTGCAACATTGTAAAATTCTATGTTTAGATTCAAGTTTAATTTTTAATAAAGACTTACAAGTAAATGCCTTTGTCAGTTTTATATTTTTTATATTACACACATGATATATTTTCAGTGGTTCTAGAAGCTTACATGGATTTGAGTCAGTCAGCATCTGAGGTTTCCCTTAAAAAATTCATACAGACATTTAAAGACCAGGTTCCACAGGTAACATATTAACACTCTTGTGAAGCACCCACATAAGATTTTTATGTTTCCTTTGGGTAGCTTGTATATCCAAATACTTTGTGCATGTGCTGAGCTCATGTGGAGGAAAATTATAGCTAAATACATACTGGATAAAATGAGACTACTAGACATTTATTTAGATATCTGAAAACATGCAGACCTATTTTTAAAAAAGAAATAATAATATAAATAATAAATTTTCTTTCTGTAATTTCTTTTTTATTCAGTAGCAAAATACTGCCAGCATTTCAACTAGGAAATCTTACTAATTGGAACAATTTATTAAGTTAAAACAGTTTAATTATTAGAAAAAATGTACTCTTCTGTATTTCTTTTTCTTCAATTTTGCTAAAAAAAAAATCATTTTAATTTCATTTTTTTTAGCTGAGCACTATAGTGGAGACAATTCAAGTGAAAGCATTTGAAGAATCAGAAGGTACTTTTCTTTTAAAACTCTTACAGTATTTTAAGGCTTTTGTTTGCATACTACTGCATACATACTTATTTAAAAAATTCGTAACAGTTTTGAGTTTTTCATTATATATAGACCTGGCTAGATTTAATTCTCGTGCAGGTGTCTAGGTATATGTACAAAATTAAATAATGGACATTTACAGATTCTAGATTCTAAAAAGGACATTCCATTACTACACAAAGTTCATAAGAGTAAAGGATTTGGTTTAAACATATTTATTTTAAGCTCGATTGCAAAACAAGTTCTTGCAACTTTTATCAATCACTTTCGAGTCCACTTCGTACTGTTGTCATATGAAGAAACATGGTCTGACCCAAGTAAGGCTCAAACCCATGGTCCCTGGGTTTTGAGAGGCAAACACCTTAACCATTAGGGCGGGCACGGCACCACTCTCCTTAAAGAGCAAAGGAGAGTTATGGAATAATTCTCAATTATCTTTAAGAAACTTTTATAAATGTTGTTTTGGCCTCAATAGGTTGTGTTTACCTCCCAAATTAAAAATACTAGAAATTTTAATGTTTTATAAAATTATTTATCAATTTTAAAATTGGGACAAAATTTTATATTTCCGTGCAGGTTTTTAAGGTTTTTGTCACAATATGGACAAATTCTTTGAAGCAGGGAAAAAGTTGGTACTAAAGAGCGGCAAAGGAGAGAATAGGGGGCAGCCGTGTCGGGGGAAAAGTTCGCAAAAAAACCGGCCAACTAGATAAAGAATTGCGAGCCCCTTTTAGAAGAGAAAGAAAAAAATCTCAATCATCTTTAATTAAAACAGTGCAAAAATTTTTTACATCTTTCAATATTGAGCCCAATGTTGTTAAAAAGTAAAAAAATAAGCATTTAAGACAAAGAGTTTAACTTAGAGTGTGGATATTAGTTGAAAAAACCACTTGCCCAACTTTAAAAAAGGTCAAAGCCAAGGTCAAAAGAAAAAGCACTACATAAGAAAGAATGGGTCAGCATATTAGATGACGAGCCTTTAGAGAGAGGTTTATCTGATCTAAATTTAGAATCTCATGAAACAGAAAGAGAACATTCGGAAAGTGATACAAAAGAAATGTCAGATGCGGAACTTTTTAATTATCTTTCAAAAACAGATTTTGGGCAAGATATCCACACAAGTGTTGACAGCATTGATACAGGTGTTAATAAACATAGTGAGACTACTACCAGTCAAAAACCTCCGAAATTAAAAAAGAAAAAACTTGGATATGTGCCAAATACCTTTGTACCAAACAAAACTCTTCAGTTGAGGAGATCAGGAAGTTTAAGTAGACTGTCCTCTAAAGAAGAAAGTTTTGAAAGTAATCAGTCTGCTAATGAGAGACCAGTCTCTCAGGAGGAAGTACTTACTGAGAAAATAGGGAAACAAAGTCAGGGGAAAGGCTTCCACAGAAGTAGACCAGCATTTAGGTAACATACCTCAGTTCATAAATTATCTCAGGGGAGGAGCGACCAAGTGATAAGCATATCTACATCTCAACCCAGGCATCATCTATTCAAACTATATTTGGGTCATGTCCATATTTTGTCATGTATGTTCCATTTCAATTTCTTTTGTGATTGAAATAGGCTGTCAGATTTCTCACAATCAAGCTTACAGTATGTTTCAATTAATTGCCTCATAATTTAATTCATTTGTTTTCTTACAAAACTGTTGTTACATGTAGTTATAAAACAAAAACATGAATTGCTTACTTCATGTAATTTTCTTTTTACGGAGTTTCTCATTTGTCAGAAATTTTATTATTATTTAAATATTTGCAAAATGATCAAACCTTATTATAACATTACAATTAGTATAATTACCATATTTTTATACCCTAATATGTACTTGGATTGACCAAAATAAACAATACCTCAGTGAGACAACTTAGGGTACTAGTGCCTGATAATAATTTATATTGATCTCGCAGAATGTTTTGTATATTTATTGTTAAACATTATGCAACTTTATAGTTATATTGCCTTATTTGTTTTGCAATGAAATGTTACAAATTATGTTATGCAAATAAATTTTATTTTACAGATGTTTTTGTTTTATCTCGATGTTACTTTGTAATGAGATTATCCTGTAATTTTAACTATTGTCTGCCACCCCCTGGGAAAGGCCCTCTACATTGTGGTGACACACACAACTTTACCAGATTTGTATCATTGTAGAAACATCAACTTTTTGCTTGCTATGTATTGAAAAGAGACTAGCATCATTTGAGTTTTCCATTAAAGATCATATTGGGGCATTTACTGAAAATTTATTATGGAATTGCCTTGTGCAAACTACTATGATTGGATCACTGGTCAATCTGTCAGAGCATTAAGATGGGACAGATCAAATTTCAAAGAAATGCTATTGTGTATAAATGCAACAGATGTTGTAGGATTAAGGTCAATCTAAAACTTATTCTGCTGTAAGTTTTTTGTAATTGACAATTTACTAGGTACAAGCTCCCCCTAGATGGAGATTTGTGGAATAATCATAATACTGGTAGTGTTTGTTTGTTCGGTTCTGTGTCGCACCAACACAGTATAGGTCATATGGCGACATTCCAGTTTAATGGTGGAGGAAGACCTCAGGTGCCTTTCCACACCCGAGTTGAACCACCGACCTTCCGTAAGCTAGCTGGAAAGCTCCCTCAGAAAGAATCCAAAGTTCCTGTCAAAATTCAAAACCACAGCGGTGAGGGGATAGTGGTGTGAAGTCAATGACCTTTGGTCACAGATTTCCCTACTGGTGGTGGCAATTTTGTATTTAATGACAACAGAGAAATTATGGTGTGAAAATCAGATTGTAATCGCTTTCTTTGATCTACACTGCCCCCTTAACAAAGAGTGCATTTAATGTTTTATCTGTCAATTTTTTTATCAATGTACGAGTCAAAATCACTTTGATACATGATGGTCAGCAAAAATTTACTTGAATTTTAGTTAATTGGATTGATAGATCAAAAATTCATCAGATTATACACTTTGGACTATTTACAAATTATAATGAAATGTTGAAGACAGACTTCTGGTTTTAAGCATAGTGCAAATCTATTTAACAAATGTGTTAAAGATCATGAAATAACCATTTAGATTTTTACACTTTGAATTTCTTCCATGTCCATACTATTATACAACTGTACCTCTAATACTATGGTCATTCCTCAAAGTCTAAAGTGTTGAGTGTCTAGTTGAAACTTTGGTTCAGTATATTTTATTTAATTAAGAAAGTAGGCGAACTTGTGACCCAATAGGGAATGCATGTTACATATTACAATAAGGCAACTTAAGCACATTTAGATGGAATGAATAACCAGATTAAAACCTTTGAGAAAGTCATCAGTACCTTATTCTGCATGTTTGTGTAATAGACTAGCTCCATTCTGTAGCATTCAAGTACAGTATCAGCAGGGCAATAAGAAAATCATAAAGATTCGAAATATAGTCATGTAGTTGATTACTGGTGTTTTGCAAATTCCAGATTATCATTCAACCACCTGCTTAGCTCAATATGGTGATCACTGGATTTGTAATTTGGGAATCCCAAATTGGGATGCTGGTTTGATCAATGGTGGAATTCCTTTTAATATTGATCTTAGACATCAGTATGTTGACAATTTTAGATTACAAATACTTATTTCTAATATTAAATATCATTTAATGATCTTTCCAGGTTGACACAACTTCATATCCTCCATTCTGTATGAATTGTAATATCTTTAATTTCCTTTCAAATGTATGTACCAAGTAATCGTAGTATAGACTTTCCAATATCAGCCATTCATTGTTTCCAAAGGTATATTTTACACAATATTGTTTTGCTATTCCTCTATCATTTTGTAGTTGGTTGTAGTCCTACTAATACAAGTATATGTCATATGGCAACATTACAGATGAAGGAAGACCTAATAAACTAGCCAAGTAGCTTTCCAACATGAAACATATAAACACTCTGGTAGGATTCTCAATTAAGATGTTGCAATTCAAAATTGTGTATCTTAACCCCTCAACCGCTGTGACCCCTCCAAAATAGACTGAACATATTTTTTCATTTAAAGACATCCCCATACATGTCAAGCATCTAGTATCATGGTATTTTATCATTATCATCATCTATTAACTTCTTCACTAAGGAGGAACTGAAAATATTTTTTGCGAGATGTGTATTTTTAATTGTAAGTTGTGTGCAAAATTTCAAACATCCCCTAAATCTGTATTCCAAGATATATTTTTGTGAAAAATAACCATAAAACTGAAAGGCGTTGCAATACTTTTCACTCAAACCACACTAAAAATTAGTATTTTTCTTTACTATCTTTTGCAGGTTTTTTTTTTCATTTTTATGAAATAACTTGAATTAAGCAAGAATTCTAAGTTTAATGCTTTAGACTCAAGTTTTTCATAAATTTCCTACCAGTTGTGTTTATACATCTATTCATATTGATTCCGAAAGGTAATATTAAAATAAGAAAATATAATAAGAAAATGTTCAGTTTTTTTTCTTTATTTGTATTAACTGTACAGGTCAGTGCATGGTTTATTCTCTCATCATCATCTTTTGTCTTTTCAATTTCTTTTGTGAGACCTTCTTTTTTACTGGCTCATCTTCACCACCCACTGGTCGAGGTACAGCCGCCTCACGTTCAGCCAGGATCAACTCAATGTGACATGGACTGCTCATGTATGCTAGAATAATTTAAAACAAAACATTTGATTAGTTCCCTTGAAAAATTTTTAAAAAAATTTACCATGTGCATAATTCATCTTTTTCTTAATATTTACCGATAGAAACTGGGTTTGAAGTCTAGACATTATAAACAATTACAAACATCAAGTTACTCCTATTAAATATCTGTGGTGTGACTATTGTCTCTACTTCTGCCAGAATATAAACAGGTTCTTCTAATATTCAATTTTGTAATGCACTGCCAGCAGTGCTTCAAATGAAAATATCACACACCTTTCAAGGAGACGTATTCAATAAATCTAAAACCTTATTTTACATAAATGAGGAAATTTGTCAGCTTAAACCGGTGTGCAATTTACTGGCAGTGCAATAATTCACACTGTTCAAAGTATAAATAGGATGATATGACACATCCACAGAAAGATGAATGCCCATCTTGGGAGGACAGAACTTGTGACAGGGACATAGAAGTCTAACTTAGGATAACTCTGGCACCATGTCCTTTTGTACAACTAACTCTTGAGTTACAGTACAGTAAGATATACATCAGAATATTCAATACAGTACTTACGGTTAATTCTACCATGAGCTCTGTATGTTCGTCTCCTCATTTTTGGAGCTGCATTTACCATAATATGTTCAATCACCAAATGATCTGTGTCAAGTCCCTGAAAACATAATGGATTAATAAGCTAGTGTTACACTGACATTAATTTCTTTACAAAGCAAGTAATATAAAATCTTTACTTACAAATTACTATACATATATATCTTTTTTATTACTTTGGTAAAGTGACAAGTCACACAACATTTCTTTAATAGGGAAGAGACCTCTGGATGCACCTCTTTGTTTTATTTCCATATAACCATTCTCTGGACTTATCTAGTTTATATTACTAATCACCTCTCATTTAGTACATTCAATATACAAATGGATAATTTAAACTGCAACAAAAGTGCCAATATGCCACACATGCTCAGTCTCACAACAGTGAACATTTACATTAAAATCCCATAATTTATAGTGACTAAAAAACAGATAATGTAACACAAATACACAGGCTCAGTCTCACAACAGCAAAACCCTACAACTCTTTGTGACTAAAAGATCTATACCATAACTCAAATTTTCAATTTATCATCTGACCTTTGACATGCATGCAACCTTGACCTTTGTCAAAATTACCGGACTTGATTTTGCTATCAACACTATGCCTCGTAATGCTCCAGACAATTTTGGAAATTACCTGGACCACACAATGTGCAATCCCATAGATCTGACACATTTTTGTTTTCTTTTTTCTTAAATAACAAGGGTGTTCATGCCATTAAAATAATATTTGAACAAATAGAAAATTAGACAGAACAAAATATATAAAATAGACTCACCTTGAATTCAGCATTGCTCTCAGCGTTTTTCAATAGCTGCAGAAGAAATTCTGCACTCTTTTTTGGCCAACGACCTTGTGTGACACCCCATGCCTTAGCCTGTAACAAAAGACTTTGTATTAAAGATTGTGGCAGTCTCTTTTATCCCTTTAGTCCCATTTCAACATTTTTGTATAACAGCAATATTACTTTAAAAAACAGTAATTTTTGTCAATGGAGCAGTCTTTCCGAAAGACCGTCGGACCGTCGGCCCTGACTGGTAAAAAATCAGAAGGTCCGATAAAAATATATGTATTGACGGCCCGACGGTCAGGTAAAAAACTAAGGTTTTTATAAAAACCTTACATTTACCTAAATTTAAAACATATCAAAATGTTGTCATTACACAATATAAGCTCATGCAATGCTTGTCAACTGTTATGCATTCTCATAATGCAAACTATAATGTAACAACGTAAGATAAAAATATCCGACAACTAATACAATTAAAAGGCAATAAGCGGCCACGTAAATTACATAAGCGGCCCAGATGTGAAAGGTCACCGCTATTAGTTTGTTTACACAAATGAAAGTGTCAGTGTATTAATTTGAATAATTTACGTCTTTAATCGACAGACTTAGAGTAATGCTAAATTACACGTGTGCTCAACTGGTGCTTAGCTATGAAAGATCGTCCAAGATGTTGACAAAAATTAAACTATACTGTGAAGGTACCAAAATCATTGAACAATTAATCTGTCAACTTCACTAAATTACCGATATATATAATTCTGTTTACATATGCCAGACTTTTGCTGAAATTTACCCTCTCATTTTGCTAGTATATAGTCTATATGGAATTGAAGTTTAAATAGCAATATCCATTGAATACATGTATAACAATATTTATGTTTACATTTTGATTGTGGTGCAAAAAGATAACTTCACATCGTTGATAATATTTAATATAATTTTCTTTTTGTACACAAACTTTTTGTCTGCTGACACTTATCAAGTCACTCAAAATGCTATACCAATCAGGTTTTTTTCGGTCCAGTAAAATCATGTTTGGTCCAGTAAAAATTTTCAGTTTACAGGACCTACTGTCCAGTAAAACTTAGAAGTCTTTCGCATAGACTGATGGAGGGACCAGTCATTGGAAAGTAAGAAGTAACTGTTTTGGTTACTCTGGATAGTATATATAATGACACTGCTTTGACATGGCTCGTAAAGCATTGTCATATTAAGAGAAACTAGAGATGGATGCCCATGACTGAAGATGCTCAATAAATCAACATCAAAAAACTGCAAGTGTTTAAGGTATCAAATGACAACATCAAATCTAATAGAGGTTTCATGGTCATAGCTGCACAACTATTGGAGTTACACATGACCAAAGTCTAAAAATGCATAACTGTTGCTTAGTAAGATGTTACAGCGCTGCATATCTTACATAAATGTTAAAAAAAAATCACATTTAAATACCAAGGTGCTTAAGTTCACAAGCTGACAACTATTCATATGGTTTGGCAGTTATACATTTTTACATACTACACAATTTACTGTATATGTTAGGATATCTGGACAGACAAGGGCAAGTCTACTGTATTGTTTAATTACTGTTGCCATTTCAACTATGATAAACAACATAACAGAACCTTTCTAGAACACTTATCATAATTACCTGTGCTTTTCTGCCTACAGCTCCATTAAAATGTGTGAAGGGAACAACTTCCTTCTTGGCAATAACATTTTTTAAATAACGTGTAGCACGCTTTACATGCATATGCTTGACAGCTGCAGCCGTCTCTCTGGTGTTCTAAAAATATCAAAACCAATGTTGGCATAAATCAGAATTCGAAAATGGCCAGATACAAAATCAAGTAAGTAGATTATGATACTTTCACATCATTTAACAGGGCCTTTCAAACTATATACAGTTAAACTTCGTTCGCTCGAACTCGGATCGCTCGAATACCTCCCATCGCTCGAACTCATCGCCCAGTCCCGGCAAAATTCCTATATAATATATATTGTTCTACCTCGGATCGCTCGAACACCGATCGCTCGAACTCTCGAACCTGGTCACTGGTCCCTTCGGCAGAAATATAGTGAAAATCACACATATTCGGTCGAACACAAAAAGACAAGTCGGTATGTCCGAAATAAATGACAGTCGGCGACACATGTTTTTAACACCTCGTGATCGTGACAAAGGTGATACAAAATAAAAGGTGTTGTAATTGATTTGTTTGTTGTGATAATATTGTTGATTTGCCGTTTATGGCGACGATAAAAAGAAAACAACTTGTGAAATAAGTGAAATATGCATGCCAATAAAGAATGACGTTTACCCGGACGGCTTTAATTACAACCGTGGTTCATGTAAAGTGAATCGTAACAGTGTTATCTATTTATAGAATGATACTTGTATGTTTTTATTTTAGTAAATGACTATAAATATATGCTGCTGTAAATATATTTAATAAATAGTTCATTCATTTATTTTTTAAAATTGAATTCATCCTATTATAAACATATAAATATATTTTGAACATTGTTTAACAAGTTTGGTGTGATTGCCCAATCGAACTCAACCAATTACTATATGCATGAATATAGATTAACACAGCGTGCCGTTAATACTATTAGACACTAGGATAATAATTCTGAATATGAAACATGTGAAATATTCGACGAACAGATGTACTAACAAACAATTATATCGACGCATTTATCATTCAACCGATGTAAGCTAGGAAAACCTTTAGGCATTTGATCAACGTAATAATAGTTCAACCTCGGTTGGCTCGAACTACCGATCTCTCGAACAAATTTTCAAAGGCCCTCCGAGTTCGAGCGAACGAAGTTCGACTGTATTGGGAAAAGGCCCCTGGCATAAATTTGGAAAAATGTTAGAAGTTAAAAGTCAGTTAAAATTGTAAGTTAAAGAGGCCTTGCTCCAAAAAATTGCTTTCAGAATTATGTCCCTAGTCTAAAACTGCACCTTGTCATAATGAATTTTTTCATGTTTATACCTTTTGATTGTAATTATGGGCTTAACTGTTTTTTTATTTAAGCAAATTATGAAATTTATGGTATATGAATGCTGAAAATAATGTTTTTACAGTGAGTTAACTTAATCCCAATTCAGGGAATAGAACTACAAAATTAGCCATTACTACATGATTCATTATTCTTAGTTTACTTTCCACTTTCAAAGTTATAAACACTAATTTTTTCGAGATTTAAAGTTCAATCTAGCAGTCAGTTGTGAATGTTTTTTAATAATTATATCTGCCACAAGTTATGAAAAACTTATAATGGTCATACCTTGAAGTGACCCTGAGATAGGAACCCTTGGCTTTTGCCGCTGAAATGAGAAGAAAGATTTGTAAAACATCTTTATAAATTAGAACATATTTTCAAACTATCAAATATAAGACAAAGCCTGCTGGCCGCAAGTACATAAACCCAAGTAACTAGGGAGACCATGACCACCTGCATGTCATTCCTGCTGTCTGATCATTGTACTTTTTTCTTTCTAATTGAAAATTTGACAAAAAAAATGTCAAATTACCAAAGAATAAACTGTTTCTGTGTGAGAGTTTAGCGCAAAGGCCACTAGCAAGTAAAACTTTGATCAGGCCCATAAAATTCAATTGATAACTAGCTTGTGAAAAATTAGTAATATCAGTTTCTGAAAATGAAATGAATTTCAAATTTATGCAAGTTATTAGTTAACCCCAATTCAAGGAAAAGAGCTAGCAAAATTACTACATGATTAATTATTCTCCATTCTATTTTCCACTTTCAAAGTTAAATATTTTTTGGCTTGTAAATTTAAACCTGAACCAGTTAGTAGATTTTGCCAACCACTAACCCAAATACCTTGTGGTTTTCTGGTGACAGGTCAAATTTTATTTTGTCCAAACTGAAAAACTGACATGTCTGTGATATATTTTCCATGATAAAGCTTGTTTTCAAGTGAATGATACTTTTAAAATCATATTAAATAAATTTTAAAATGATATTAAATGTATGTAAACAAACACAAGAACTCACATTTTGAGGGGTTCTCTGGTTCTGAAGCGTATCTCGTCATATTGGTTCTGTAAATAATAAATAAACATGAATATAAATTATAACTCTATAGTTACCTAGTAAAGCTTTAACACATAGTTCTAGTACAAAAATTTTTTACTTGTTTCATGCATTAATGCTCAATGTGTACATATAAACACTGTCACATAAGTTGTATCCGTTTGAAATGCCAGACCATAACATAAGGGTTTGCCTGAAATTATTGTCAAATTAAAATTTAAAGTTTATTATTAGCCTTGTCTTAATTGATGATATACTGTCATTTTAAATGGTAAATGATCATTTGAGAGAATTTAGTCGCTTCAAAGTAGAAGTTTAGCCACGTAAAAATCCCATGATAATAGAAACATGCATGTTTATTTGCAGTTCTTTTGAAGAAACATCAGACTAGGACGTAAATACAAACGATTATTATAAGTTCATAAAGGCGTTAAACCGGGACACGACATCTTGAGTAGTAAGATAATTGAAGAAGCTTTCGATAATTTGAGCATAATGTGTTTCAAAGGCTCTAGTTACATAGATTCTGTAGGATGTAAATTTGATCTAAATAACCAAACGTTAAAACCTGAGACTGAACCGGAAAAGGAAGTACAGGGTATACAAGTAGACTGGATTTGATTTTTTTAGCAACCAATCCACATGAATTGCCCTAATCGAATCATTTGACCCCAAGTAGATGTCAAATACCAACATTTTATAAATTTTGTCATGTTTTTAAATAATCACAACATGCAAAATAATAAGTATAAATTGTATCATTAATATCCTAGAAAAATTTGTTAATGAAGCATAAATTTCTGTTATTAACAGAGACATATAACAAGTATTTTTACGTCTCTGTTATAATTAAGAATCTACTGTAGTCATATCTTTATTTTATTTTACAGGTACAATATAATTATCACTCATTCTCCTGTTTTACGTATATTTTTCTGTGTTCCGGTTGTTACATGTTCACAACTTTTTAGTATTTAGTAGAATTTTATGCCATATGTTCTTATGAACCATAAAAGTATTGAATAAATCTTGAACTCAGATTGTACATAGCCCTGATGGATTAATTTTTGAAAGAAAATAAGTCGATGAATTTTTCTATTAATACCTATGCGTATAAAACTGGATATGATATGAAAACAAAATAAAAAGGAAAGCAGCCATCACTGAATGTTGTATCCCCCAAACACACACAACAGCCACTTGATAAATACGCAAACTGATCCAACAGAATACAGAATAGAAATAGTATAAAACATGACCAAGAGCTGACAAATTTCAAAAGGGCTAGGAAAGGGTTTTTCAAATAGTTATCTATTTGGAATATCCTGAAAAATACTGAGACAACGTTCGAGTTTATTCGTGAACCTTAGCTGATATAGGTGCAAATTGAATGGGACGGGGAATATTAAATTGAAGAAGCATGTTCTGCCCCCGGGTCACCAAAAATTGTTGATGATTTTTTTTATTTACCAAATGCTTTATGTTCAACCCTTTATATGGTTTGATGCTACGCTTCCTCTTTGATTACATCTGAAGTACCAAGTGGAGCTCTATGATGGACAGTTCGTAAATCCTTTTAGGAATGAATGGTCCTAATTTTCGTCTTCTGCTTGGTTCGTCGGGCCCGTGTAGGTGATTTTATTGCTGCTCTGTCTTCTCTAAAGACTTTGAATACTTTTGTTACGGTCAGTTTACTTTTATATTTATCTACATCGTATTTTCCGTGTTTTACTAATTTCATCTTTTGTAACCATAACAACTGTTAGAATTTTACTTGCCTGTGATTCATTTTTGTTTACACTGTCTCGTTTAAAAGGAATCGTGGGAGCTATGAGTGGGGTTAAGTGCACCATTAACGGTTTAAACTCCAAGCAGTGATGATGCCTATTACCGTAATATATATCGTCTACTTTAATTTCCTTGTCGGTTTCTTTTGTTTCCTATTATTATTTTAAAAAGTGATCGCCCCGTCCCTTTTTTGCGTTATGTGACCTTTCCTGTTTTTGTTTGGTGTCCTGCTGGGCTCCTTGGTGGTGGTCTTGTGTTGCTGTATTGTGTTGGGGTTGCGTTTAAAAATCTGTGGGGACAGGTAAATTCATCTACATATTAAGAAATAGTGTTCTATTTAAAAAGCAGTACATATTATCCTAGGAAACAATGAGTGCCGCAAGCGATGTTAATCTTGACATATGTGTTTTTGTTAAAATTTGACTTTCTTTAGTATACACTAATGAATTCTTCAGAAAATCATTCGATCTGTAAACAAAATACCATAAAATATTTTAAAAGGTTTTCATTCTCATTGCGACCCACCAATATAAGGAAAGGGGTGGATTCAACAATCCATAAAGTTCGGTATAAATTGGAAAGTAGCCCATTGCTCTTCACACAGTCCGTATCATTTTCCGTCTTCACAGCTCATTCATTTTTGTTATACAAAGGTATATCAAAATGAACACGTATAATTTCCATTTACTTTATCTTAATTAAGCCTTATCGCTTGATAATTATAATGCATAAATGAAAATTTAAATTTTCCCGCCTAGTGCATCCTAGTAAGTAATTTAAAGAGAGACTTTTATTACATTATATATAGCTCTGTGCAAAAAGGTGCCATAAATGACTTTTATGTTTTTTTGAAATCAATATTTATATAATGATATGGTTACATGACATACATGTAAAGAATATCACATATCATAAAGATATTATGACAGGTCCTTACTCACAAGTATATGAAATTTAAAGTTGATACGAGTGTTTCAAGCCAGGTAATGTGCACGTCATGTACGTAGCCTTAAAAGTGATAGGCATAATAGAGTGATGTAAATTAAATATCACAATGTCTTAAATGTCCATTTGACTGAATTTAATTAAAAACCACCAACCACCCCACCCCCTCCAAAAAAGGGGAAGAAAAAATAAGAAATACATAAATTAATTTATTAATAAAAAAGATTCAGAATTAATTAATGTGCTAAGTGTAATCTTGAATTAGACATACTTTAAGGTTTAGCAGAGAATGATACTGCATGTCATCATGATCATTATCAAAACGTGAAAATTTCATGAAATAGTGCCATATAAATGACTTATATAGGAGAGGCTACTATTGGTAAACAGCATCCCTATATGATTCATAGCCCAAAAACTCGAGCCGTCTGTCAAAATGACTGCGCATGCGCACATGCTCTTCTGTTCGTTGGTGAATAATCAACAGAAAATATTCCAAATTATTTTACCATTCTAAAGCAGTTGTATTTCAAGTAAAAATTTATGGAACATACCAGGATGGATATATACATATGATATAAAGGATGCTATGAAAACGTCATTGCAGTTATCTAGTCACAAACGTTTTTATTTCTGTTGTTCGTGCTGGAGCATACCCCACCCACCAACTTGTCAATGGTATTTATTTATTCAACTGAATGATAGTTTTAACACAAATAATTGCGTCTAACCTGTTGTTTTGCTATAGTTTGTTACATATGTTTTGTATACACAGTTTAATTACAATTAAGTTTTGTATTTTATTACCAAACAAAAGTTGTTTATATTTTAGTTTAAATTCAAAGTTCAAATCTTGAATATCATATCTAAAAATATTTATCAGTTCCCATGCAGATGAGACAAAAAAATCAAAACATTAATGAACTGGTTGTATAAGGTTTTGTTCTTATAAGGGTTTTTGTTCTTCTGAATTTATTCATTATTGTACATACATTTCATCTTTTGCTAAGTCAGCCAGTATGTTGGAGGCTACCCCTCCTCAAGCAACAAAACAATATACAATATGCCATTTCGATGATAATCAAAATATTTTGATGTGCCAAAGCTAAATTCTGATATTGCCGGAATGCTTAAGCACGAAATAGCACACTATCTCATTGCGTTATAGTAAATACAATTAGTTTGACTATATCGATGACAGCTAAATTTGTCCCTGTCCTACTCCTCGAGTCAGCACCTTTTAAGTGTAAGTCAGAAAGTTTCAACAAATGTTTGTTTAGATAGAAAACCATTGGATAGTTTTAAACATCAAAGTAAAGTTAATGTATAGATCTGCAAAATTTCTACAACATTAGTAAATAATGTATAGTATATTTAAGGACGTTTTCGGGAGTTTTCATATACAGGGGTTTATTTAAGCGGACGCCCGCTTGCCCGCGTCGGGTAGAAATCGCTGCGGGCAAGTGAAATTTGAAAGCAAATTGCCCGGCGGGCAAGTGAATTTTCGTTATGCCTTCTATTAGCTTTGATATCCTTTGCCGATAATACTTTTCTTTCCGTTCATATAACAGTCAAACAAGTGTATTTATAACTGTTTCTGATTGTAGTTGGACTCCTATCAACCCATCAAATTACGTAAAAAAACTTTTTCTATTTTGCTTTCCTTTCAAAATGGCGGGCGGCGCCGAAAGTTTTCCCATTTTTAAAAGAAAAAAATCTACAGCAATTAAAGAAAAAGCCACGGCAAAGAAAACATCTGATTTTCTGAATAAAAAGCATAAAATCACAAAAATTCAAGATGAGTTATGTCAATAAAGACTGACACAACTGCAAGGTTCAAGAAAGAACAGAAAAATCGGGCCGTAAAAATCTACTCCTTTGAATCCTGTACGCTATTGTTTTCTTCATACAGTCAAAATTTAACTAACTGGCGTCAACTCATTTGCAATAGGCCTATAGAATTTTTTTAAAATTCATCACCAGTAATCTTTTTTACACAAATCTTGACGAAAAATCATAATAGTCTTGAACTGTTGTTAATTTATTTTCCTTTCTCCCCTACGGCAATGTTTAAAAATATTCTTACCTATTAATAAACAGAATAAAATAATCCATAAAATGTTTAAAATCCTTTTTGGTAAATCACAGCATATTGTGTAACTATAAGTTATCTGAGGTCATTCTAGGTCATGCCTAATTTACGACCAAAACAGAAAAAAAACCTCCTTAGGTGAAACATACAGCAAATGACGTATATTTCGTCTGACAGTTCTTTGAACCAGTCAGTGCTCTGAACTGTATGATTACTGCATGGGGTGAGTCCCTTTGATGTGACATAGGTTAAAACTTCAAATAAATTTTAATACAAACACTGGGAGGATAGGAATCAATTTAAATTGAGTATAACACATCCTGTCATGGACTTGGAGCAACTTGTTGTTTTTAAAAATGAAATAAATTTGAAAGGTACATTACTAGTTTGGTAATGCAAACAAAGCAAACATATTTTTGATATTTTACATTGTTTGAAGTCAACAATAAACATTTAAAACCTAGCACAATTTAAACAATCAATGTACTGTTTCCTTTTTAATGTTGTTTAAGGGAATAAATATTTTTAAGATGATAGCATCTGAATGTTAATATATTTTAAAAGTCATCTGGAATAGGGCCTAATATTTCCTGTAATTTTTATAAGCCTTAACAGATCATGTCGGACATGACTATTGTTAATCTTCACTTTCATTTTACTATTTTGATGTGAGGAATCCCTGACATTTAGGAGTTTTTCTAAATTAAATCTCAGGGATTTCTATTGGATCCCTGGCAAAGAAAGTTGTGTCGACCCCTAGACTATTCAGTATTGTGAATTAGCAAACAAACATATACAGTAGGGAATTTAGGACTATTTTACTATCTTAGGCATAAGTTGATAGGATCTGCAATAAATCTTATTTTTACCCATAATTTTTGCTTTGATTATTAACAAACTTCACATTTAAGATCGGGCAACCTGTTTTTCCTGGGGGCAAGTAGATTTTCAAAGTTACTTGCCCTTTGGGCAAGTGAAAGTCAAAACCTTAATACCCCGGTCACATATTCACGGAATACGCCCACGGAAGAGCCACGGATTAATTCCGGCATCGTCCGTAGCTACCCGTACTGGTCAGTAGCTCTCCGTATTGTAATCGTAATCAATCGTAGTAGTCCTGGTATATCCGTAGCGATCCTTGACAATTTTTGAACATGCACAAAAATTTGCTACGGAAAAATCAACCGTAGCGTATCCCTGCTAGTCCGTATTAAAACGTACCGATACTTACTGGTCCGTACGAAAACCGTACTAGTCCGTACTGATTCGTAGCCCACCAACTTGTCAAGGATTTCCACGGTTTGGTACGGATAACCTACGTTTAAGCTACGGTTTTAATACGGATTAATACGGAAAGCCACGATCGTAATACGTTGTACTACGGAGAAGCAGGGATTAGCACGGTCTTATACGGTTTATTGCGTTGCAACACGGACTTGTACGGTCCACCACTGTTTAGAACGGATGAATTAAGTATCATGTACTTTCCAAGGGTACTACCTTCTTGTTAAAAACAGACATATTTGCGGGAACATTCAATAAATGATAATTACCATTTACTGGCTGCAATTTTATATTGAAATGGCTCAGAATGCGCAGGCAGTGGTCGAGCTGCTAGATGACATGCATAGAGGTAAAATATATTAATATCGTACTACAATTCTTAAGTAATAGAGTAATAACATTTAATGTTACACATTTTACAAACATTGGATCGTGAAATTTGAGTAAATATGTACATAAAACGAAGTGTCTCATAAGCCTTGGACACTGACCCTTGAGTTATAAGAAGATTAATTAACAAGCTTTTTACATATTTTTAAAACATAAACATTCACGATAAAAAATATTATTGTAAAAAAACGGCACATTTTAAAATTAAAAGAGAAGCAGTTTTGATCAACACTTTTTTAAATGATTACTAGTCCATATCTAATCAGGTAAGAGAGGACAGGCAAGATGGTGGACTGGAGATGGGCTTTTACGAAGACCCCTTCATGTTTAGTATGAGGCTCTCATGGCCGAACTTGTTGAGGACCCAGCGTCCTTCAAGAAATTCACTTTTATCGGACCTGATGTGTCTCGGGGGTCAGACGCGATCAGGCCGAATCCTCTCCGCCGAAATCATTAAACTCTGCAATTTGTTTTCCAGGTGTTCTTTTCTTGTGGGGCATTTATGCAAGAGGTTGTGGACGGATGTATTATATATATGTATAAATCCGTGGCAATTCGTTCTTCTCCGTATCAATTCGTTCTTCTCCGTATCAAACCGTACTTATTCGTACTAACCCGTGCTTATACCGTAGCAGACCGTAGTGTATCCGTAGTGCGTCCGTCTTAATTCGTGTCGCTCCGCATCAAACCGTGTCGGTCCGTAACAATCCGTGTCTCTCCGGGGGATTTTGGTGGTAAATGCGTCGGACTCCGTACTTATACCGTTGTGTGTCCGTACTGGAACCGTAGCGGACTACGGAATTTCACATTTCCGTAGTAATCCGTGAACGATTAGACCGTAGCTCTTCCGTGGCATTATCCGTGAATATGTGACCGGGGCTTTAGTAAACCCCTGATATATAGACATATAGGCAAAATGAAAACTGTTCAATAGAATTTCTTTAAACTTGGCATGTTGTTAGAATATGATAACAGAAACATTTTAAGCGAAAAAAAAATTTGGGGCATATTGAAATACATTCTTCTGCCCACACTCCCACAGTATGCTAAAATGCTAAATTCATTTAATTTATATGTACTGGCATGCGAGCAGTTCCCGTACAGAAGCAGTACCCGTATTTTTCATTTAAACGCTTGATTTTTACATGCATTCTTCAAAAATTCATTTCAAATCAAGCAGATACATTATAAACGAGACAAAATCTAAGTGTCAGTTTGGCAGTACGTATAAAAAGTCTCATTTTAAATCACTTTCACCTGTGCGTTGTCAAAACGTGACCTTGTTTTATCTGGGGGATTCCGTCCTCTGCGCGCATGCGCAAACATACTTACACGTGAGGCATGTTAAAGGGTTTTCCACTAATACCACATGTTTACAGATAAGAAGGCAATGTGATGAAAACTTGTTTAATTATCAGAATTTTGACCAATATTACTATATAAAATAATTTTATGGCTTTGATGCGTAAAATACCATGTATACAAGCATGCCATCGCATGTGAATGCGATGGGGGTAACGGTACCGGGTAATAGATACACGCGTTTAGTCTACTTTCTATTTCCTGAATTACATCTATTTATCTCTTAGAAAATGGTCTGTTCAACAATTATAAATGAAAAATAGGTCCGATATAATAAAATTGTATAATTATAATGGGTTAAATTTTATGTACGGGAACTACTTCTCTTCATACAAAATAATGGATAATTTCGGTACCCCATATGAGGCCTCATAACTAAGGGTTATTCTATGTTTAGAACATGATGGAATTTCCATGATTTGTGTGACGAGCCGAATATTGATGTGTAACATTCAAATTTTGGTAAGTGAGCGTAATAAAAAATAATGTTTTAGTAACTACGATTTTTGTACGGGAACTGCTCGCATGCCAGTACTGTTAATTGATATAAATACTTCTGTTTGTAGATGAGATTTTCCTGTAATTAAAGGCCAGATGGATCAGTCACAGAAGTTAGACGCAGTTGAAAAACTTATTGGTTATACAGGTCTTGGACATGGCAAGGCTAGAGAATTTTTGGAAAGTAAGTTATTTTCTTCCCTATCAATATTTCCTGTTATTATTTTTTTAAAGGTTAACTATTCATTGAATAACTATCATTTTCTGAAAGGTTTGCCTTCTCATCCTTGTGGCAGAGTGAGCCTTCCTGTTGATAACACAAACATTTGCCAGCCTAACTTAGTAACTGTCATTGAAAAACAACTCTGTATACTGGATCCAGGGATTTTTCCACAGGTGACCATGTCTGTCACCATTACATATTAATACCAACATTTTACAATGACAATGTTGAAGATTATGCTTATGATAATTTTATATTATTATATTGGGCACACTTTCTTGCAAAATATTGCTTGAATTATTTCTTATCCTAAATTTGATAGCTGGCCATAATATGGATATGACTCTTACAGATAAACTTGTCAATGATAATATTTGTGCATTTGAGATAATTTTATCAGTTTTGTCTCATTCATTGTCAAAATTCTAAACAAAATGGATAATTATAGTTTTCTTATTGATTTATTACTTCCGTTTTTATCTTCAGTATAGACTATAGTCTTATTTAATATTGTATATATACAACGTAAGACTTCTTTGGTTTAGTGCAACTTTTGCACACTTGATATAAATTGAAAAGATGATTAAGAAATTTAATTAAATAAAAGAATATGGGTATGCTAGTTGAAATATTTATAATAATTCAGTGTCTATTCAGAATTTTAGAAATAGTAAATTTCTTCCTCAGGGTGAATTTCCTGTTTAAAAAAAATAGGGGTGAATCGAAAATAGGGGTGATTTCCAAAAACAATGGGTGCCAACAATGATGTTTATATCAAGTCAGGACCAATCTTTTTCCAGAAATTTACAAGGCTGCCAGCTATATGGCTGTCAGCAGCCTCATTTAGGTTGTGTTATAGAATTATTGAACTGTGCATCCCCTGAGAATTATGCTTGATCAGTGCCAGTTTATGAAAGAAATGTATTATTCTTTGGTATGATATGATTTGTCTACACTTTGTTCACAGAAACGTTTAACCAATGTTATTATTTGATCAAAAGTGATATATTTATTTACAGTGACCAAAGTTGTCCCCCTCAACTTTTTCAACAAAAATATTGATTATAATAAATGTAAAGTTACCTCCCATCTGTTTCTGGTGTTCATGTAAACAAACAGGGCTACTGGAAATTTAACATCAATTCAGAGGAGGGATCTTCATGCACATGCCTGATAAATGTGCTCTATCTTTGAAAAAACAGCGTAAATCTCTCTAAATCTCTCGCAATTGGGCATTCTAGAATGGACACTGATATTTGCAGAAGATCTTTGGTTAGAAGAAGTTGAATGCATTTCTGAAAAGACTTTGAGAGATCAAGACTTACACTTGTGTATCAGGCTATTCCAAGTGACTTACAAAAGGCACAAAAAAAGGAAAAAGCAATAACTTATACAGAGTACAGTAATTATACATGCAACATTTAGCTAACAAGTAATGAAACTACAGTAAATCGTTAGGTTTCAGTGTCAGAAATAGAAGAATGTTAATCATTTAATACACATATTATTTAGAATACCCATCATATATTTCAGCTTTTTATTGATAAGCAGCATATAATTAATTTATGAATATTATCATTTATATGGAGATAATTTGGGTACATGATAAAACATGACCTTTGTCAGATCGCTGAACTGTTTTGTATGTGTAATGACCTTTCTTCAGTAACTAGGGTAACCAGCTATGGAAAAAAAGTCTCACTTAAAGTAATGGAGTGTCTTATAGAATGATTTGAAGGTACTTTATTTAGAGTGACAAAATATATTTGAAAAAAACATTATAGGTATTTTTGAATCAGTGCAAATAATGGTAGGATAGGTACATGTACTTTAGTTATATTATTATCTTAGAGTTATAGGAAAAAGACTTAAAGTGATATAAGATATTGTAGAGTTATGGAAGGTTTTGTCTGAGATTTTTATTTTAAATGAAGAAATGAAAGTTGCCATGATATAATTTGGGATCCATTTTTTTAAGAGAAAAAGTAATTTGTAAAATCTAAAATTGTTTATCTTATATTTGTCTGGAAAATACAAAACAAAAACAATATGCCTTAGAAATGAATACAGTCAAGTAAATTCTTGTAAAAGTATATCAAAAATAGAAGCTTTTGAATTATAAAAAAAAAACACTTCTGGGTCAAAATGGGCATTTCAGTAATTAAAAAAGATTCACAAACTTGGATATTGAAATTTTTACTGTGCAAAATGAGCTTTTTATGTCAGGAGAGAAACTTATAATTCAGAAATAATTTGCATTATGAATTGATCAGTCCTTTGATCAGTCATTCTCCAACTGAGCCTATAATTGCATTTTTGCATTTATTAGCAAAGAGGGTATTTACATTTGAATGAACCTCCCAGTAAATGACTTTGATATATGTTTA